TTAGGTCAAGTGCAGTAGTGCACTTGTATAGTTTTGTAGTTCATCCCATTCCTGATACAAGTTCTATTGAGTTCCCCTACATTATGTATCTGATGATTTACGTCTCAATCTCTGTACAATTTTCTTTGGACTCTCTCTTCCTCGCAGTGGAGATTGGTGTAACGAGCATGATAATTTATTGTCGGGAAAACTAAAAAAAGAAATAAGGCCGTATGTTCCTAAAATTCAAAAACAAGTTTGGATTTGGAAAAATAAGGCCGTATTTTTTGAAGAAAAAAACAAACAAGCAAATTCATTCCAAGGTCAGCAAGGGCAGCATGAATCACATCCACGGGGAAGTTTACAAACCAAACTCCACTTCCCTCAAAAGTCAGAGACAAACTCTTATCTTAGCTAAAATGTGAACTGGAACATTGCTAGTCCTCTTTTAGTCTTTACATGAAACACCTTGACAAAATCAAAGTCAGCCATCATGAGCTCTAACTAAAATTCAACCTTTTTTTTTTTTTTTTTTTGCAGGAAAACTAAAATTCAACTTAATTCTTTGAGACATTAGCAAGATGTAGTCAAGAAGTCCCAATCTGACTCCTCAACCCCTCCCCTTTGTACAGTTTAGAGTTTTCTTTTGAACCAAAGAAAAAAGAATAGGAAAAACCCATCTAGTTCCCTTCAAAATCAAAACCACAACTTAATAAAAAGAAACCAAGACCGTGAAGGTAAATTAGTGAAGATATTGGCATGTGACCTTGAGGTCTCTGGCTCCCTCAAATCCTCCTTTCTCTCCCTTTCCCCATATAAATTTGCTGTAGATTCCTTGTTTTTTTACCCCTAATGAAAAGTTGCTATAGATTCTTTGTTCTGTTGAAAATGATTTGAGAGATCCATTCCTAAGTTCATATATGATCTCTTTATTTCCTTTTTTCTTTTATGTATGTTTGGTTTGCAGAAAAGTTGAAGAATTTTCTTGCACTTTCCTTCACTTTTCTCATTTTCATATACAGAAAAATCTACAGGATTTTGAAGGAAAATGGGTGGGTTAGACTGACCCAAAATTTTTTTTTTTTTATGACCTTAACTAATTATTTCTAACTTCCCACTTTTCCTCAAAATTTTTGTTGGTAACCAAATATAAGTCGAAATATGATTTTCAATTTGCTTGCTTTACCTCACTTTCTTGCACTTAGCTTTCCTCTATTCAAACAAAATCATTCAACATACAGTAATCTTTATATATAAGGTCTCGTCTTTTAAAAAGGGTACCATTAGCCAAATCCATTACTGATATTAAAATGATCTTTCCAATGTTTCAAAAAAAAAATTTGATATTTCCAACTTCGAATGTATAAGGACAGGCTGCCGTTGATAAGGATGACAATTTTTAGGAAATAAACCAAATTTCTTTTTGTCAAATTATAGGGTAAATAAACAGACATTATTGAAATCTCCGAAATACTACTATATGGTACATGCTCCAAAGGGATATGTCTAATACGCTTCGGGATTGAACCTGTTGGACTGGATGTAAAAATCCAAGAGATTGGAATTAACGGGCGGTCTATCCTACAAAACTGAATTGCTAAAATATGAAGAGGTCATACAATAATGTAAAGAAATCTATTATAATTTGATACATATATATATAAGATAAAAAAAGTAATAAAAAATATATTTACCAAAAATAAATATTTTTTTTTTTTGCAGAAACTACAATCCGAACAAGGACAATTTTCTTCAAAATAGATGTTTGAGGAAATGTTACGGACAATAACATTGACGTCAACCACGTGCAAACTATATATATTCTGTAATTTACCATCACGTTGTTCCAAGGTTTGACTCTCAAATAATTATTATAATCTCTTCGACTTTTAATCCCTTCTTTCAATCATTTTTTATCTCGTGGTCAAACACCTATTATCCTAGAAAGAGGCTTTGAAGTGTGAAGCTCGTATCTAGGTTGGTCATATTCAAATTATTTGACAATTAACAGTTTAACACAGTCTAAAATCTCGTATAAAATCTATACAATATACTCCTTCCGTCCTAATTATTTAGTCATGTTTCGAGAATCTAACTTTTTAAAAATATTGGTTTGATTTGTAATATTTGTGATTCTCTTTTCAATTTTACTCCCATAAATTTAAAATTTAAATTTAAATGATAACATGCATATGATTATAAAAAGAAATTATATTGAAAAGAGAGGTTAGAATGTGTTTTGATTTTTTCAACATAAAAAATATTTTGAAATATCTCAAAATGAAAAGTATGACACTTTTATTGAGACGAGAAAGTAAGAAAGAAGAGAGTCATTGCCTCGTATAAGCTACAATGTCACTTTTTAAATTTCTTAATTTACTCTTAGGCCCTGTTTGGCACTAGAGTTTTTTTTGTCAAGTTTGTCTGCTACAAGTTTTTTAAGAATTTTAACTACAGTAACCTCAAAAAAAAATTTAAACTATACACTTCAAAATATTCAAAAATTTACACACTTCAAAAATTTTTTAAAAAACTTCTACAGTAAGTTACAGTAAAGTTTTAGACAAACACCCAAAAAACTCACTTGCCAAACGGAGCCTTAGTTACAAGAATAAATTTGCTCTAATTTATTCTGAAAAATCCACTATCAATTAGTGATTTCGTTTAGATTACCCATTAACTATAATTTTTTACACCAATTCTCATTTACCTTCCTCAACTTTCATCATCTTCATATCTAAAAAAAACTTTAGAACTAGAAAATTTTGATAAATTTGCATATTATATTATGTTATGTGCAAGTGTGTTTTTTTTTTCAAAAAAAAAAAAGTTTGAATAGCTTTTGTTTCAATCACCACCACGGGTCAGAGTATATCTCAATACTATACATCGAAGTTCTTATAGATTTTTCATTAATATATCTCTCATATTAACAGAGATCACCCCACTTTTTTTTTTTGCTTGACATGATAAATTTTAATCTACACCTACACCTACCTATATTAGGAGGAGGGCGAGATCCAGGGAGAATGCGGAAGGGATTGAACCACCATCGATTCAGAGTTCAGACGGGTGTCTATGCATTCACTGGCAAAATTTTCTCAAAAAATTCTGGATTAGAATGCAGGCTAAGGGATTTGGTTGCACATTTAGGCTCCGTTTGACAAGTGAATTTTTTGGATGTTTGTCTGAAACTTTATTGTAACTTACTGTAGAAATTTTTTAAAAAATTTTTAAAGTATATTTTTTTGAATATTTTGAAGTGTATAGTTTAAAAACTTTGATAAGTTTTTTAAAAACTTGTAGCAGATAAATTTAACAAAAAACTTATCTGCCAAACAAGGCCTTAATTTCATTTGAAAATAGTATTGTATGGATCTTAGGGGCTGCTTGGTTAAAGGGTTTGGGAATCACAAAATGGAATAAACCCCTTATTTGTTGCTTGGGTTAAGCCTATTGGAATGCCATTTTTGGAATCATTCCTAAAAAATCATTCCCGAGCAAATTGGGAGGTTTTGGACAAAACCCTCAACTCATTCCCTCAGACAATATTTATCACGGATCTACCCTCTCTTTCCTCTACATCACACGCTGCACAAAACCAGAGTCTTCTTCTTCATCAGTTTTTCTATCTCTTTTTCTTCAATCAATCGCAACCCATCACCTTCATCGGACATCTTCTTTCTCATTTCAAAGTCCCAAATTCAGGTTCACAAATAGTAGCAATAGCTTTCCAAGATCTGAAAGCCTAAACGAGAAATTAGACCATGTAGTAGATGATTTGCTTGAAAAGGTTGAAGCTTCCAAGGTGGAAATTGGAGAAGAGAAGATTTTATTGATTGGGCAAAACATTCCTTAGAACCAAACAATGTCATGAGTGGTGAAGTTCTGGTGAAATTTTTTGATTGTGTTCTGGTAAATCTGAAAGATCTGCTTAAGTTTGAAAACAATTTGATTCTGTCTTTGAAGGAACAAATCTCAACCCTTGAAGTGAATTTACGATTCTTGAAAAACTTTGTCATCTTCACAAATAGGCTATGCAGTGGGTATGCGAATATCAGACTGTTTTTTACTTCTATTGAGATGCTGAAAATAATGGTATTTCGTTCTGGTGTTAGTTGGGATGGAAGAAATAGGGAGTCAAAAGTTGATAGTGATAGAGACAGCGACATTTTAACCCTTCATTCTAAAGGCATAAAGAGCTGGTGTTTTATGGGAAAATAGGTACTCTGTTCTTATAAAGGAGAAAAGTCATAAAGAGCTGGTCTTTTATGAAAAAATATGACTATTATGAAAGTGACCGTGATTTGGTTTATGAAATTATCCAAAAAAAAATTTAGAATGAATTTGTTTGTTTTGAAAGTTGTATAACGGTCGTTAAACTTCAAATATTCCTTCCTTAAACTTCAAAATCTACAAAATCTCATATTTTTGTTAAATACAAAACCTACCAGTTTTTGGAATTATCCCTTTGTTTTATAAGAATTGTTATATCAGGGATAAATTTGGAATTTAATCGTATTTAATTCTGAAACACTCGTCAAACCAAGCATCGGAAATTGGAATGAAAAGTTTAATTCCAAAATCAGAGTCTATGATTCCATTTCCATTTTCGATTCCAATATGCGAAACAAGCACCCCTAGTACAATTAATAGCGTGAGCAGATACGAATTAGGTGCCATCTAAGACACTCAGTGGGGAAGTAAACTTTCCAGTGTAGGCTCCGTCTGTCCAAAGTGCGCTATGTTTGCAAGACAAAATATCCGACCAAAAACAAATAATTTTGAAGGGTTAGGAAAGGATTTTCATTCACCTGTGTAAGTTCTCTCTTTGGAAGTGTCATATGAATTAAAAGTAGAAAATAAAATGATGATTCTTGAATCTTTAAATTTGATTGTACGGACGCAATTTTCACAAACGAAAAAGAACCAAACGGGTCCTTGTACCTATGATGGGACACTCTTTTCACAAAAAGTCAGCCCGTTGAAGCTGTCACAATCATAGTACACAAATAACAATTCCCTCTCTCTCTCTCTGTCTCTCTTCTGCACTATTAAATGACTCGAATGCAGACTTGGAGGAATCAGTTTCAGTTGTGGCCTTGTGTAGTATTCTCTACTTTCCTTGTCTTTCACGACATCTTTCTTGTTTGTACAAATGGCTGTGCTCTGTTGCTGAATTCGGGTCATTGCAAGTGGCTTGACAACTACAAGAAGTCAGTAGCAGGTTTGCTTTCTAACTTCTTCCATTTTCGATACATTTCTTTGCTTTTTATTGCAGCTTCGGCAGCTGATTTAATGAATTCGTCAATTTTAGTATGTTGTTCAGACTTGGATTATGCTCGACTCTTCCGTAAGTTCCAAATAGATATGTGATGATCAATTGTATTTCTTATTTTTTTCCCTTTTTCCTATTTTTGAAATTTTCTATGCAGAAAATGATTATCATGAATCTTCCATGGATTAGGCTAAGTCAAGAAAGAGTGTACCACCTCCAGCCTTCCTCTCCCTGCTTCTTCCTTCCCACCTTAACCAATCTGAACTTTTTCAAAACAAAAAGTTGATGAACCACTATGGTGTATTTGGAGGAATAAAGCACAAGTTTCAATCAAGAACACTTTAACTTGAAAATTTTCTTTTGTTGTATTAGAGCATTCCTAAAAGAGCTAGGAATGGAAGTGTTCTGTAGCCATTAAGCCTCTCTATTTGTACAAAAACCTCCAATTAATGTCTCTATTTATAGTATGAAATATATTACATGTGATTTAGTAATAAAACAAATTATTTTTCGGGGATAAAGCTTGCTGTTTGTGTCCAAGCGTTTTGATGTCAAAATTTAAATCCTTCAATTGTTGTGCTATGATCTTTCCTCACATAGCATGATCCTGTTGTATTATGTTTTGTTAGGACTGAGATTTATAGTTGAGACATTATAAAAGGGAGTAAAAGAAGTAGTGCAGAGAGTGTGCTATAACAGATTTCAGAAATTGGTATTATCAGCTTCTTGAATGGAATCAAGCTAAAAATAGCTAAACACAAGTGCCTTGGTAAATGATTAATGCCATGCTTTCTGATGTATGTAAAGAGAACAGAGCTCTAAATTTTGATAATATATCTGGAGTAGAAGTTTATTAAATTCATTTGTAGTTAAAATATAACTAAACAAGGTTACTTTTGAGATTTGAATTGTATAATTTTTTAAGCTGGTGGTCTTCACATTGGAATATTTGACAGAGAAGAGATTTGAGCTAGACATAGAGTTGCTATACCCCAATTAGAGTATTTGATATTGGCCAGCATGTAGTTTTGAATACTCTGTTCTTTATCGTTTATAAATCAAGTTCATCGTAATTCAGAAAAAAACTACTTTTTAATTTCCTTTTTTTTCTTGGTTTTAATGCAGTGAAGTTGTTTCTGACAGATTGGAGGTTTCAGAATCCAGGAAGGAAGAACCTGACATAACACCTAAACAGCCACTAGGCAGTGAGCATTCTTTAAAATTGTTTGTGTTTTGATACCTTATACTTGTTGCAATAATTTAAGTAGATTGTTATTATGGTCTTCTAGGAAGATTTTTGGGGAAATGGCTGCATCTGAAAGAGATGTGACACAGATGCTATCTGCCACTGATTCACAAGTTGATGAACAAGATGGCTCTCAGTTTTGCAGGCTTACATATAGGAGTGCATCCTTATCTATCCCCATGAACTCCACAGAATTCAATGACAGTGAAAATAGTCTTGTAGGTCATTCTGTTTATCTGGAAAATGAAAGGAAAACTTCATATTTGCAGATGAGTGGTCCTTTATATACTAGTAGCAGGAATGGAATTGTACTGGGGCCTATGCAAAGTGCAGTAGCGCAACAAACAACTGAGGCTCCAGTAGAACGGTATCCTCCATTGAATGGCAGGGAGCGAACAGTTTGGCCAGATAAGAGCTATGCGTCGCAGAATGATCATCTCATTAAGTCTGGTCAACTTGGAATGTGTGATGATCCTTACTGCACAACATGCCCAAGTTATTACCATCTCAAGGGGCAACAGAAGAAATCAAAATCATCGGACATACTGGATTACAAGGTACCATATCCCATGAGGTTGAAGTGTTCTCCCTCTAGCTGTTAAGCAATGATCAAGTGTACTCTTTGAATTCTTTTCTGAGATTCCATCTATTCTCAATTTTAGCTCTACCATAAGATAAGAGTTTCAATTATACTAGTATCCCAATCTATTAATTCTCTGCATCTACGGAACTCATCAATCATCATTATCTTAATTCCTTGCAGAACATTTATCTTTTGCTTTAAAATGATTTTATGAGCTTCGCATTTGTCCATTTCTGTATTGAGCAAGAAAGCTGAATTCTCAATATAGTTGCATTCGACCTTTTTATATAAAACATTTGTAGGAGAACCTTCACTAAAGCCGTGAATGTAATGGTCAACAATTTCATGATATCATGGGGTTGCTGGCCTCTTGCAGTTGATTGAGCCTAACCGCTATCATGCTTGTTCAGGATTTCAACTTTCTTCGCTGATTCTGATAATCTGTAATTAAGTATCACATTCATAATTGGTGTTGAAACTGACTTCATTGCCAATTCTCTTATTGCATTTACTCAAATATATGAACACTTAACAGAATAGCTGGTCTTAGAGTGCAGAAATAAATAGATCGTTTCTGTTTCTCGCAAATAAAAATTTTGGATGAAGTAGCAAAAAAGAATGGTACTGAAGTGGGCATGTATTGAGTTAAATTTTCACTTTCTCTGATTCTAATGTCTATACATGCTAGGCCTATTGAAAGACATTAGAATCACCTTATAAATAAGAGTGCATTATAAATAAGTTACTCTTGCCTTTAACTTGAAATTTAGTTAAATATCACCTTATCTAAAAGCTTAAGTTGTCCATTTGATCACTGAACCACTTCACCATTTGTGAATTCCTTGGGTTATTGTTATATTGAAAGTGCCAAGTGCTGTATAGTTGATTTGTGAAGATGCAAAATGATGGGACTTCTTCACAATTTGAGCTTTTTAAAATGTTGTAATGAACACTCAAGTGTTAAATTTTGGCTCGTTATTGGTACTTGTCATTTACATTTGCATGTCATTATGAGCATTGGTACCTTCATGTACTGATCTGTTTAAATACTTTTTGATTTGCAGTTCCACAATATGATCTATGGAGATGCAAAAGGCTGGGCAAAGAAAGTTTCTTCTTTTCTTGGTCCTTTTATTCCACCTATCATGAATCCTCATGCAAAAGTTGTTCAGCAGTGGAACCAGTTCTTTTTCCTTTCTTGCTTGTTTGCAGTTTTCCTGGACCCTTTGTTCTTCTTTTTGTTGTACGTAAATCAGGTATAATGTTAAAGTTACCCTTGCAAATATTGGTAGTCTAATGGTTAGGTTTTGAAGACATGCTCTCTGTACCCTTCACAGTTCTTATGGAGTACTAAAGAGTAAATTGAATTGATTTATCCACATAGCATTACTGAATTCTTTTTACTCTGAAAAAAAAAAGAGAAAATCACTAACTCACTTAGAAGATGGAGGTAGTGGGACTTTTATCTGGATCAAGGAACTTCTGCATAAAATGAAAATTATGATTTGGAAAAGGAAATCTTATTATAGAGTTGTACTGGTCTTGTATGAAAAGCTTATGAATAGGATCTTCAGGTTTGAATTATTATAAAATCGTGGGAATTGGGGGGTTGCTGCTTCAGCTTGGACAATTAGGGGGGTTTTCAAATGGGATTGTTGGACTGGAGCTCAATGCAACACTAAGCAATTTACAGTTGATTGAACTTCGTTAAAACTACTAACTATATTTTCAAAGGTGGTCCAGCAGTTTTGGAAGTACTTGGATGGTGTAGCAAAATTATGTTGACTGACATTTTGTTCAATTATGAATACCCTAACCCATATCAGGGGGAGGAATTTGTGTTGTGTGTAGTGTAGTTTGCTCAAAGATGTGTTTTTATTTTTATGATTGAACAAATTTTCCTGCAATTTACTTCTTGTCTTGGTGATCCAGGATAACAAATGTATAGTACTTAATTGGCCCATGACAACAACAATTGTGGCTTTGAGGAGCATGACTGATTTTTTGTACTTAATTCACATCCTTCTTCAGGTAAGTGTCATACTTCTTTGAATGCTTTATGATGGTTACGTATTTTCTTCACATGGATTTGGTCAGAAGCTCGTTTAGTATCAAGGGAAAGATTGTAGGAGTACAGCTAGATGACAGATAGAGTGACAGAAACAAAAAAGTATTAACCTATAAAATGAACAAGCCCTAAATACTCAAAATGTCATGCTAGACACAACTACAGTGACCGACAGTTAGTCCTCTTATTGCTCCTGCTCAAGCTGTTACATATAATATATTTCACAAACTATTCTACATAATGAAGTTACTCATTCTTTTTAAATTTTCAAACTGCTGAGTTTGGGATCTTTGAGATGCTGTATTTGACAGCAAATTCTGTATGGCTTGGTGTTGAAAATCAACAGGACAATTACCGAATGCACTTTTTCCAATGGAAAACAACAAAGACACAAGGTTTTCAAAATCAATCTCATCTGCCTACTGAAAATTCAATAAAAGGAAAAGCAGAGAACTTGGTATTTCTCTCCACTAAATTGAGCAGAATTTGCTATCTTGAAATTCTACATGTGACACACAAAAATTTTTCCCTCTTTGGATCCATGCAAATGCTTTTGTACTTTTTGAGGACGAATTTGAGAAGGCCCCACTGACAGGGCCTAATCCACTAGCTAGGAACAGATTTTAACCTTTTTAAGACAAGTACTGGTGTTCTATAAATATTAGTTATATATTACCACTTTGAAGTACAAGTAGGACATCCACATTTGGTAGAGTGAGTTTTCTTCCAAAATACTCTGAAATGGTAGCCGAGCAAGAGCTTCAAGGATAGAAAAAAGTAATTGTAACTTCCAGTTTTATTTTTTCAAATTACTCTTGTAATGCATTGTTTATCATGCTCTGATCTGTAGTAAAGGGAAATATATACTCAAAAGACCACTGGCAGACATGATTTGTGTTTTTTGTAATTGTGCCGTCTTTTTTTTGTTATCTTATTACCTTTTGGTGGCTTTTAGAAACTCGATAAATTGCCAATGTGGATACTTGAAACTTTGATTTTTGTTAAGAAACGTAGTGTGTGGACTTCATGTGCCAAGTTGATATCGTTTGGGCTTTTTGGTTGTCACTTAAAACTGGAAGAGCATATTGTGATTACATTTTTTTATCTTCTATGTTCTTTTGCTTTACTATTGAGTCTTATAGGTGTGTCCCTGATATGCTACCAATTTATCTATGTTGCACATTAATTTTGTGAGGTTACATTATCAATTTCCATATTGCTAATTGTCTGCAGTGGTGATATTCTTTTCTTAATTCTCAGTCATTAGGCTGCATTATTTGATAGCTCGAGATCTGTTTTGCAGTTCAGGCTTGCTTATGTTGCTCCTGAATCTAGAGTGGTGGGTGCTGGAGACCTAGTTGACCATCCAAAAAAGATTGCGCTTCATTATCTTTCTGGATATTTCCTTATTGACTTATTTGTTGTATTACCACTTCCACAAGTAAGATTCATTACCTCCTACATGATGGTTTTTTTCTTCAGCTTTATGATCTTTGTCACTCTAGTTGGTAATTTAGCATGATAACCCTGAATGTAAAGGTTGTTGGTCCAATTTTATGCACCACTTGTTACAATATGGTGCATATGCTTAGGCCTACTGAAACCCATTGAGCCCACATGTGAGCTGTGTGTGCTAAAATGCATAAATAAACAATTTCTCTTCTATTTATTGACTTTAAGTTGCTAGAACTTGAATGTACTGGTATCAACATTCAGCATTATATCATTCCTGGAGAGAGGATTCAAGCTCAAGCTCTGGTGTAAATGTGCTTGAAAACTTGAATCTTCACTTGTGTGCACCTGGGGGTGGAAAATAGCTGGCATGGAATTCAGTGATTGAGTAGACCAATTGCATCTGTTAAAAAAGGGTTTCCATTCATCTTTTCTTTCATGTTTTTCTGATACCTCAGTCAATCCTTGGCAGGTTCTCATTTATCAGAACCAGGGCAGATCATTTCTGTTGCTGTTTCTTTTTGTTGAATTGATTTTTGAGACTGAATTTCAGATTTGTTATGGACTATAACTAATATTGGAGCAGTAATCAACGATTTCTGCATTGTGTAGATCATTATATTGGCTGTCTTACCCAATTCCATTGGATCATCTGGTGCAAATTATGCAAAAAATCTTCTGCGGGCAGCAATTTTAGCTCAGTACATTCCAAGGTTGTACAGGGTTCTGCCCTTGCTCGCTGGTCAGTCATCAACCGGTTTCATATTTGAGTCAGCATGGGCAAATTTCGTTATAAATCTTCTAATGTTTGTGTTGTCTAGTCATGTGGTGGGATCGTGCTGGTATCTCTTTGGGCTGCAGGTAGGTGAAAAATTATTCATGATTTTATCACTCTAAAAGTCCCACCTTCTTGATAACTCTGAGGCATTCAAACCGCTAAATATTTTGATGTTTTCTCATCATTTTAGCTTGTTTATTAAGTGACTTCTTAATGTTACTAGGACCTATGCAGAATATATGCAATATGCTTCTCTGGTTGAATTATTCTCATTATACTTCTAGATCTTAAATTTTTATGTTCCAAGGTGATTACATGCTTTTTTTTTTCTCTTGAAGATGGCCACAACCCCTTGATAAGGCACTAAAGTTAGACTTCAAGTTATTGATTTTTCCTTTTTTGAAAGTTGCCATATTGTTCCTTTTCTTTTTTTAAAAAAATATTACCTTTGCTATTTTTAAAGATGGTTACAACTAAAAATAAGGCACTAGTCATTGCCATTTCAACTTTCTTAAGCTGATAGCACAAGAGGGCTGTCGTCAGATTATTTCTAGATAGCAACATTCAGTAGTCTAAAACTTTCATCAGAAGACTTTTATAGCCAAAGTTTTAATAATAATGTTTTTTGGTTTACTTGGCTAATCTCTACTGAGTCTTCTGAAACACAGGTTTTTTACCTCCCAAATATTGGTCCTCATTTAAAGGAACAAAAAATTTAAACTTTTCAGAGAAGGATGAAGAACAGATGGAGAGAGAAAAGACAGGTTGCAACAAAAAATTCTAGATTTGGAAAAGCATTAACATGACAAGTGCAAATGAGAGAAAATGTTCTTTACTGTATCCTCCTCCTTTTTGCCTTCATGTTGTACTTTCTTTATAGTTTTTGGTTTAGTAGCAAGCACGATAACTATTTCTAATTTTACTATATGGAATTTAATTCTGTTTTGTAAACTTTTTAATGCTTAAAGAGGGTGAATCAATGCCTTCGAGATGCCTGTCATGACTCTGGAATTGCAAGGTGCATGGACTTCATAGATTGCGGGCATGGGAATGATCATAGCTGGTTCGCTTCAGATCCAACATGGGATCTGTGGAAGAATAATGCCAATGCAACGGCTTGTTTTGGAGGTGGAAATTTCTCCTTTGGAATCTATGCTCAATCTGTAGACCTGACCACAACAGAAAATGTCATCACTAGATACATATACTCATTGTTCTGGGGATTCCAGGTATCCCAGTATGATTTCATGATTTGCCTCATCTGGAGAGGTCTTTTATCAACCTTGTTTTTTGCTTGCTGATGTCTTATATTGGGGAGGAGTAGTTTAAATTCAACAAGTTTCTATGCCATTTACTGGATTTTTCTTTTGCAAAAGTTGGTCCTCCATTTTGAACTTTTGATATGTTGGTGGGTAAAAATTATACAACCCACACACCAATAGCCAGCACTAACGTTTAGAACAAGCAAACACATGAGATGTGCTAGCAATTGCTTAGTTAAGAGTATTGAGTTCCTCTTTCTTATACAGTTGTTTGTTTACAAGAAGAGGTAGACTCTAGCAATTTGCTAAATGACTAAATGTTGATGTCAGTGTCTAATTACCCTTCTCCTTCTCTTGATATAAGCCCAGTATGTGGTGAGACTTAAGTTGCTAGTTCACTCCTTACGCTGCTCTTTCCAAAAGTAGCACAAGCAGTTTTTAGATCTTACTCTATTTATGCATTACCATTCTATAATTGAGCTTTTCCTTTATGAATAAGCCTTCACAACATAGCCATCGGAACATGGCATACTGCCCAAAAAATTTCACTCTTACTATTGAGAGTCAATCACATCTGAACATAATGTTTTCTGCACGATTGTGAAAGCTATCTGACATATAAAGTTTTCTGGGGCTGCAAAGAATAACCCATCCTAGAAGAATGTCATTTCTATCACTGAACTGCATGAGGATAACACAAACCTCAAAATGTAATAATACACGGTTTGTGGAGTGTTACACATTTTGAACAAATTTTAGTAGATTCTCTTGGAAACCATCTTCAGCTACCAGATAGGATCTTCCAGTTTCAAGTTTCAATTGGAGGTTGTGGTTGTATGTTTTCTCATTCTCTTACTTATCTTGATAATTTTAAAGGAATGTTTAAAGAATCTTAAACCACCTGCTGGAAGGTGAATATTCAAATTTCTGAATGCATGATGAGAATGCAAATTTCTCTACTCTTGAGCTAGTCTCTTGTCAAAATGTTTCTTAATTGCCAATGCTTTTGGCTGGTCTTGCCACACTTCTCTGGCCCTGATGTTTGTCTAGTTTTCAGATTCTCTGAGAAGCTCTATAACCTTTTGTAATGGGGTATTTAGCCCAACATTGATATTGCTATTTTTATGTCAAAATTAACGAAATATTGACAGTTTTAACGGGTTTTGATGAAATAGGAGTTGAATTCTTTTTTATACTGTTTTCCTGTTCACTAATCTTCTCCTTCTTCTTCTGAAACTTGCACCAATATCGACAGGCACATCAAGAATCATCAAACGTCATCGTGCACAATCTTCCAAAGCATATTAAGATTGAATGATGCATTGATGTTTGAAACTATAAACGATGAAAATCAAACCAAAATAACCCCTAATAAAAGTGTCAATCTTTCTTTAAATTGACATAATAGTAGAAATGTCAAAGTAAATAGCCCCTTTTGGAATCTCATGTTATTTAGTATTCATCCCAGACTCAGGTTTGGTGAATTGGGAAAACTTTCTGAAGAATTTGTATAGCTATTGATCTTATATACACTCGGCAAAAGTTCAAACACCTTTACCACTAAAGATTTCTATCAATTTCCCGTTTAACATCTGAAGCTGACTGACAAAGTGTTCCGCATATAAGTAAAACCAAAATTTGACTTTTGATGGGAAAAGCTCCTTGATGTTTTTGCGCTTTCTTTGATGGTGAAATTATTGTTACTGAATGTTTTCAATGTGGGGCCTTACTAATAAATTTTCCTTTTTTTTGTTATGCCTTGTTGAAGCAAATAAGCACATTGGCTGGAAATCAAGTTCCTAGTTATTTTGTTTGGGAAGTTCTTTTCACGATGGCCATCGTTGGACTTGGTCTTCTTCTGTTTGCTTTGCTGATTGGAAATATGCAAAACTTTCTCCAGTCTCTTGGACGCAGGTAATACCTTCATCAATGCTAATCCATCATCATCCAACATTTTGTCAATGCTAGCTTTCAAGTTCTAACAAAATTTGTTGGGTGCCTGTTCAAGGTAGGCATGTGGCACTGTTTCAAAATTGCCTCATACCTTTTGTGTTGAGAGAACCCATTGATTACATGGCTGAAGAAAGAAATCCTGCATCCAACTCTGGAAGGATGCTAATATGCCGTGATTGTAATGGGGTTCTTTCTTTGCTTTCTTTGAGTTTACTATAGACCCCAGTCTGGAAAGTATATATTCATTAGAGATTTTAAGAACTACACAGCAAATCACAACCTTGTTTCCAAGACAAGCTTATCTCCCATCACCATGCTCTTGTTAGTATCTTTTCCCACAAATGCGATTTTCTTGTGAGACGTGTCACCCAAATTTGTCCGATGAGATGCTATGAGATTTCCTTGTTTGGCTGCTAAAAAAGGAAAATTCGAAAAAGTGTGATTTATATCTATCGCCTTTGTAGTATTGCCCAATAATCAGTAGGTCCCTTGACTTTTAGAAAATAACAATTAACCCCGCTGCTCTTGATATCTGTCTCCCTTGTAGTTTTGCTCAATGACCAGTGGACCCCTTGAGCTTTAGAAAATGACAGCAAAACCTCACTGACTTGACAAATGCTAAAAGGTGTTAACTGGATTTTTTTAGGCAATATTCTGAGAAATCAGCCCTCCCTCTTATATGGACAAAATTAACCTATCCTAGGTGAATATGAAAATCGTTTAACCATAAAATAATATAGCCAAGAAAGAGGGGGAAAAAAAATCTTAAAATGAAAAAAATTGCAATACAAAATGGAAAGAAAATCAAACTGTGTTGCTTTCTAGCTAGACCAAAACTCACCACCATCTCAACCCTCCTAACTCCTCAACCCTAAAATCTCTTTTTAATTTTATCAACAATGCAAACAAAAGCCTTGAAATAGATGCATCTGCTTTTTCTGTAACTCAATATCAATACCCAACTCAAAAGCACCTCCAATAACCACAATCAATTTTCTAATAAGAAGAGTATAAGCCATAGAAATAGATAGATGCATCTGCTTAGCGATTTATGATGCAAGGATAGGCTTTGGTTTTCCAAATTGTTGGGGATTTCTGACTTCACTAGTTTTTGCATCTGCCAATGGCAAACAACATCTATTGGATTTTGCAATTCACTGGCATAGGCATGTATAAATGATATATCCAAACCCATCAAATAAAAATTGGAAGATGCAAGGCTTGTGGGTAATGAAGAAGAAGGAAACATGATAGTCACAGGAGACGGTTGGGGATTCATCCAAGAGTTATTTTAATGGAGTTTGTGATGGAATGGGTTATTGGGATTCATCCAAGGTTGTCCTTTGTTTTGATAATTTGATTTTTTTTAAAATTTTTAATTTTTTACTAGATGGGCTTTTGTTACTTTCTTGGATACTCTCCAACCTAAATAGCAAATTGAAGTAAGGCGATTAAAGATTTGGAGGGGCAACATTGAGAGTTGATAAAAAAATTTTGTTAAAAAATTTTGAAGTGTAAGGGGATTACTGTTATTTTTTAAAATTCAAGGGGTCCACTAGTAGTTTGGCCAAATCAAGAGGGAGGTAGATGTAATTAACCCTTTAGAAAAAGGTCTTAGAAAAGCATCCTATTTTACTGTGGTATAACTTGTCAATATATGGTTCAGAGAGTTAACGGACAAATGTTTGATAAATATCTTGAAAAGATTACCCATAAAAATGCTACTATAACAGACAGACGCAAAACTAATCTAATGAAAAGTTCTTTTTCAGCAAATATCAGATTCATATGTACCTTACTAGACTCTCATTTTGAAGAAAAAAAAAAATGCAGGTACTCATACTATAGTTCAAAAATTACATCAGAAAAGGACAAGTTACTTAACATGGTTTTTTTTTTTTTTTTTTTTTCTCAAAAACATTCTAGCGGGGAAAGGGTGAGATTCGAGGAAAAGAAAGATTCTTTTTTAGCGGGGAAGAAGTAAGAATTGAGTAGTGCACGCGAGAATTGACGAATAATAATTGAATTCACAAGTAAAGAAAGATTTGTGTGTGCATGGAGAGAATCATTATTGATTGATTGCAAATAAGTTATAAAAGTGTTTTACCAATGAAAGCAAGAGGTTTTTTCAGTCAAGCTTGCAGCACGGAGACCACTGAAGAAAAGAATAAATGCCGAATTGTTCACCGCTTTTCCTCTACTATTTCACGTTGGGGGAAAGACAAAAGCTTAGTTTTTCTCACTGGAGAGATGAATTCTTTTCTTGGCTTATCATTTTTTATTTCCCACGGTTAGGCCCAAGGAATGTTCTTTCTCTTCCTCATGCGATCTAAATCCTTGCCAAAAACTTCATTTCCACGCGCAAGGCTTTCCCTCCAAACCCCATATATAAATATGCATGGTGTTTTCCTGATGGATATGCGAAAGAGACAGGCAACAAAATCCTACTAGTTCTCATCTTTGAACCATTGAAAAAAGAAGCAAATAAAAACCATTTCGTCGATAGTTTCCCAATCAATGGCTTTTGCAGTGGTAGATGGTCTCATGCCTGATGCATTAAGGCAGAGTCGGTACCATATGAAGAGATGCTTTGCCAGGTGATAATCAAGTCTTCATCATTGCGATTTTCTTTATTTGGTTGCAAATCTTTACCATGCAGAGTTCTAACTTCTTTCGGTGTTTGGCACTTGAATTTGGAAAAAATGCAAATAAAACGTATTGTGATTTGTGAAGGTTTACTAGCATGGGACCGAGGCTGATGAAACACCAGCATTTGATGGAAGAGATGGAGAGTGTAATCGTGGACAGGGCTGACAGAGCCAAGGTTTTGGAGGTATCACTCGGTGAAATCCTGAGTTCCACACAGGTAAAAGGAAATTTATCTTTTCGACTTGACTGTCAGCTGATCAGCTCCCTGCCAAAAGCTCCACAACAAGCAATCGTAATGATTAAAAAGCAGATTAGGCATTGCTGATCTAACTAATTTTCTGGTTAAATTTGCAGGAAGCGGCTGTTGTACCGCCTTATGTTGCTTTTGCAGTGAGATACGGTTCTGGATGCTTCGACTATGTTAAGGTGAATGCCGAGGATCTATCAGCTAATAATATTACTGCAACCGAATACCTGAGACTAAAAGAAATGATCTACGATGAAAACTGGTAAGCAGGACATTGCAGAGAAATGACACTGATGAGTTAGTATTGCAATTTTGAGAATATAACTCATTATGAAATCAGTTTTTGAAGTTCGTGACATGGTAATATCTTCATCTACAGGTCAAAGGATGAAAATGCTCTGGAACTAGATTTTAGAGCATTTGACTTTGGTATTCCACGTCTGGCACTCACTTCTTCAGTTGGCAAGGGAATTAGCTACATCTCAAAGTTCATGGCTTCAAAGTTCATTGGTGATCCTGAGAGTGCTAAACCATTGGTCGAATACTTGCTAACTCTTAATCACCAAGGAGAGGTTGGCAATTAGAAAAAGTTTACGCAATTGTCAATGCCAACTCTTCCTGAAATAGTGCATTTAAAGCTGACTATAACATTCTACTTTTAACTTCTCAAAATGCAGAATCTGATGATCAATGACACCCTGAACACGGTGACAAAGCTTCGAACAGCACTGATTGTTGCTGAAGTTTTTCTCTCTTCCATGGCAAAAGACACACCTTATCAAAACTTCGAGCAGAGGTAGACTTTGCTGCTTTTAATACAGTTATGATAATATTCCCGCTTTTAGATCTGAATGTTATTTGATTACTTGGATGATCCAGGCTTAAAGAGTTTGGTTTTGAGAAAGGTTGGGGGGATACTGCAGAAAGAGTTAAGGAAACAATGAGGATGCTTTCTGAGATACTTCAGGCTCCAGCCCCTAAACGTGGAATCACTTTTCAGCAGGCTTCCAGTTATTTTCAACGTTGTAATCTTCTCCATTCATGGGTACTTTGGCCAATCAGATGTCCTAGGTTTGCCCGATACTGGAGGCCAGGTGCATATTTGTATCAACATTTTTCTCCAACTCATTGCTCCCAATAGCATCAGTAACTAGGTATTGGTTTTGATAATGCAAAATGAAGAGTAATTTTGTACTTATCTGTTACATTGAAAAGGTAGTCTACATTCTGGACCAAGTAAAAGCTCTAGAGGAAGAATTACTTTCAAGAATCAAGCAACAAGGCTTGAATGTGAGGCCTCGAATTCTAGTGGTAAGCATGGCGCAATTCAGGCTGATATTTGTGGGTGGCTACAACTACAAGACTGCTAAATTTTCAACTTCTCGCATGTGGGCAGGTCACTCGTCTCATACCAGACGCACAAGGCACAAAGTGTAATCAGGAGATTGAGCCTATCATTAACGCCAAACACTCCCAGATTGTTCGTGTCCCTTTTCAAACTGAGAAAGGGGTTCTCCGCCAGTGGATTTCACGATTTGATATATATCCGCATTTGGAGAGATTTGCCCAGGCAAGTGATTAATCTGCATTCATTTGGGACATATTCTTGATCATTTTTTTTTATCAGTTGTTTATTACTTTCTATCGCTTCTCTGCCTTTTTAGGATGCTGCTGAAAAGGTCCTAGAACTACTGGAAGGTAAACCAGACCTTATCATTGGGAACTACACAGATGGAAACTTAGTCGCATCTCTAATGGCCAGAGAGCTTGGAGTAACTCTGGTTGGCCATTTTGATTAATCATTTATATACTTCCGGATTGTGACATTGTGTTTGTCAGAAAATTGTGGAACATCTAACATGGAAAAGTTTCAATTAGGGAACAATTGCTCATGCACTTGAGAAAACCAAATATGAAGATTCTGATATCAAATGGAAGGAATTTGATCAAAAGCACCATTTTTCTTGCCAATTCACTGCTGATTTAATAGCAATGAATGCTGCCGATTTTGTAGTTACCAGCACATTTCAAGAGATTGCTGGAAGGTTAGTCTGTTAAATACCATTTACGTTCCTGGAGACACAATAGGTCACGAGGGGCTCAAAGTAAAGATGGCCAGAACTAACCTTTTCTTGTTCTTTCATAATCCAGTAAAACCAGGCCTGGACAATATGAAAGCCATACGGCATTCACAATGCCTGGGCTGTATCGAGTTGTTTCAGGCATCGATGTCTTTGACCCAAAATTCAACATTGCTGCTCCTGGAGCTGATCAATCTGTCTACTTCCCCTTTTCTGAGAAAAAGAAGCGATTCACCTCGTTTCATCCGCCATCGAGGAGCTACTGTACAGTAAAGACAACAACGCTGAGCATATGTAAGTCTTTTCCCTGTATCTGCAAAATAAGTCAGTTCTACCTAATTTTGGCACTAAAGCTGAACTGCTCTGGAACAGTGGAGTTCTTGCAGACCGGAAGAAACCAATAATCTTTTCAATGTCAAGAATGACATAGTGAAGAATATTACAGGACTGACAGAATGGTATGGAAAGAACAAGAGGCTCCGAGATTTGGTAAACCTCGTTATTGTTGGGGGATGTTTCGATCCTTCCAAGTCTAAAGATAGGGAAGAAATGGAAGAAATTAAGAAGATGCATACTTTAATTGAGAAATACCAACTCAAGGATCAAATGAGATGGATTGCAGCTCAGACTGATAGAAACAGGAATGGTGAACTTTATCGATGCATTGCTGACACAAAGGGAGCTTTTGTTCAGCCTGCATTGTATGAAGCCTTTGGATTGACAGTAATTGAGGCCATGAATTGTGGATTACCTACTTTTGCCACCATTCAAGGAGGACCGGCTGAAATAATTGTGGATGGAGTCTCAGGCTTTCACATTGATCCTTACAATGGTGATGAGACAAGCAACAAGATTGCTGATTTCTTTGCAAAGTGTAGAAACATTCTGGACACTGGAACAGAATGTCTGAAGAGGGCCTCAGGCGCATATATGAATGGTACAATTAGATGAACCTTTAATATCTGAAGAATATTCCATGACTCGTGTTATTAGAACTACTTTCTATCCATCGAATCTTTTGTTTTAATTGTTCCAGCTATACATGGAATATCTATGCAAAGAAAGTCTAAATATAGGATCCACCTATGGCTTCTGGAGGCAATTCAAGAAGGAACAAAAGAATGCTAAGCTTAGATACATTGATCTGTTCTACAATCTGCAGTTCAAGAAGATGGTAAGCTGTCTGCACTAATACCATTTGCTCAGTGAAAATATAGCTACAGATGACTTATTTATGTATATTATACTAGGCTCAGGACATGGCCATCAAAAGTGAAGAAAGCCAACAAATTCCACCGACAGAAACTGCACAGCCCGAACAACCAAAAGAAGAAGCAGCTCCCAAACAACCAGAATCAGCACCAGAAGCACTAAAAGAAGTCCTTCCAGAACCAAGGCATGTTAAACTCATCCCTCTCTTTTACTACATTCCTTGTAATTTGAACACCCTGAAAGACTAAAAACTATGCACAAAACACGATGGCTACTCCACGTTACACATTCAAATTAATAGAATCGAACACTTTGCACCTCTACACTTGAAGCATTTCAAAAATGGGAAAAAAAATAAATATAAAAACAATTCAGCTCACAATAGAAGATGAAGTGTTAGATTGGATGGATAGAAAATTGCTTTCTGTGTGTAACAAGTTAATGAGATGATAATTTGACAACCATTACTGCTTTTATTCTTTAGCCAAAGGGACCTATTATCATAGTTGTGTTTTGCTTAAACTTGTAACAGCATAGTTGAGGAGGCTGAAAAAGATAAAGAGCGGCAGAAGCAGCTTGATGAAAGTATTACAAGAACTGAACCTGCATCATTGTCCCTACTGCAGTTGGCTGTGCTTATGCATCTCTACTTCTATCTTACTTTATGCCTTGATAAAGTTGTATGGTGGATTAATGATGGTGCATCTTCTCGCAAAATCCATGATTTGGTGTCACAATTCCGTCTTCAATTGTAAACTAAATAAACTAATCAATCATATTCAATGCCAACAATAGTATTTGATTTCCCTTCTTTCTGTGTTTTTTTTTTAAAACTATTTTATGATAGTCTCTTCCCACAAAATTCCTTTCTTGGTGTTTATTGGAGTTATGCATGTGTAATCTTGCATATCGTATGTATGACATTTCCCCAGTGTTATTAGACCCGGATCGGACTGACCATGAACTGACCTTCTTTTCAATTGGTTGTAGTATAAAATCGCTTTGGTAAAAAATCAGTCAAAATCATTAAAAATCGGCTACACCAGTGACCCAAGTTTACTGGTTGATCAATTCTCAAACTTTTCTTTCTTGTTTTCCAAACATAATTTGAGTTACTTAATTGTAACACTTTCATTTATTAATAAAATAAAAAAATGTCACCATTTAGTGTAAATATCAAAATCACTTGCTTTCCTAAATGATCTCTAAATAATATTTTTATCCTTATGATCTCATTAATTTAGCATCAATGATTTCAACTTGCATTAATTTGTTTTAATTTAGTTTTTTAAGTAGTTTTGGAGAATGGACATATTTTAACCAAGAATTTACATTTTTATACATAATTATTAGGTGTATATTTGATTGAAAGCTAATATTTTTGGAACATTTTTGATTGACAAATATTACCAAAAATTTAATTTCAATATTTTTGAAACTTATAAAAATATAAAATAATTATAATATCATGCTGATGTCAGTGGTTTTTGAGAATGATCCGACCAATCTGATCAGTTGACCTCTGACCCAATAGTTTAGCCAATTCGCTGTCCAGTTTGAGTTTTACACATTGTATTTCTGTGGTATTAAATTCAACTCCATAACGTAATTAGCATTCGTTGGAAAAGAATCTAAATCGTGTAGAGGGCTTGGTTTCAGTTTGTTCAAATGAAAAGGCTTAAAGCCATCTATGGATTTTATATCATCTAATTAATGTTTTATCGAATTGAATTACGTTTTGGCACCAATTGAACAAAGGAAAATGTAATCGTAGTTCACTTTTTATTAATCAGGCCCATACAATTTTTTTATCATATAATTTAATAAATGAAAATCATATAATATAAATGATAATCAGAGTGCGACAAACAAAAGGCGGAGTGAATTTGTTGTTGATTTTTTTTTTGAATTGGGCTGATTTGTTAAAAAAATTAGTTGTAAGTGAGGTAGTGAAATTCTTAAAACCTCGGGGACGGCAGTGAAACTGTTAGAAACTTTTGAAATTAATGTCTTTTTTCTTTAATCAGTCTTTAAAAGTAAATTATACAACATTTTAAAACGGAGTCCCAAGGCTAAGTCCTAACCATAGAGGTTTCTGGCCTGCCGTTAAACCCTAAACCCATTAACCTCTACCTCCGCTACACCACCGGGCACCACCAGCAATCGCCGCCGCGTAGACGAGCTGAAATTATCACGGTACCTACTTAATTACTGATTTAATTATAAATTATCTCTTACTTTGATCATCATTAGACGGTTGAAAACCTCTTCTGCTCAATTTTTTCTTCGCATTTGCATTTTGAACTTTGTTTTTCGCTTTTTATATGGCCAAATGGTTTCTTTTAATAATTATGTTAGCTGCAGTAATCTTTCATTCCTCCTCAATTTCGGTAACGTTCGTGGTTGGATTCACTGCTGGGCCAAGTAAAGAACTGGGAGGGTGAAAGGAGAGAATTTTGTTTTTGTTTTTGTTTTTTTCCCCTGTCACAGAATCTGCAAAAGCCAAAATGAGCTTAAAAGTTGCGTTGATTTTGCAGAAAATGCCACGAAAACCCAGGAGGCGCCGGCAACGACCCGTGAGTTTTTCTCCATTTGGTCGCTCAATGGCTTTTCTTTATCCTACCAAAAAGATGAAGCACCAAATTTTGGACTCTGTTATTAAAGACAGTCTGCTCCAGCACTTCAGGTTGTTCGAAATTTCTACTTGTCCTAGTAGAATTTAGTGTCAGTAGTACTATAGTTTTCTGGTTATGTAGCTTGGAATTTTGTCCTAAACGATATCAAAATGAATTCAGACGTGGAAATTTCGGCTAATGGGGTGGTAAAGGATGGTACATTTCAGAATCATGGCGAAACCTCAGATTCTTCGGATGATGGAGAGTTTGATGTAAGCAATTCTCTTTAAAAAACAGTTTCATTATTATCAGATGCATCTATAAAGTTGTAAAACAATTTCTAATCCATTTTAACTATAAACCTAACTATGTGTTGTGTGATCATCAATTACGAGTAATATATCCTTTGGGATATTTTATGTCCGATGAATAAACTGCATTCAATTTCTGACTTATAAACTGCACTCAAGTGAGTTGACGTCCTTTTGACATTGTAATTCTTCTCTGAAGGGAGTTGTCCAGCAGATTTTTCATTCTTTGATCCAAAACCTGATGATTTCAATGGAGTGAAGTCCTCCTTCAAACCTACATGGATGATAAGCTATGGGATTTAAGTGGCTTTGTAGATTTGATATTGGGACAAACTACCGTCGGGACAGTTGTCAAGATAGAGGATGATGAAGATGAAGGAGTTTATGCTTTTGTTACTGCTCTTAATATGGGAAGATACAAGGCAAGTTAAGTTGTCTATGCAGTTTGTAGCCCAAATACTGTGGCGGATCATTTTTGTATAGATATTGTGTTACATTTTTTAATGTCAAAAGTCAAGGTTCCTCAGTTTTCTTCTCTAGTCTAAATTTACTTCTGAATTATAGGACTAATCAGAATAACCTCAATATTGGAGGTCATGTATATTGAAACTGCATTGTCAAAGAGTTTAAGTAATAATGCTCTGGTCATTGCAGGATCATAAATGTATGATCGAGCTGAAGGAATTTTTGCTTAAGTCATGCAAAGAGGATTCGGTCTCTAATTTGAGGTCTCTTTTGGGAGAGAAGGCACAAGATGTCGGACTATTGGTATCCCAACGTGTAGTTAATCTTCCTCCTCAGCTTTTGCCTCCCCTTTATGATGCTTTATTTGATGAAGTCTCATGGGCAACAGAAGATGAGGTTAGATAAGAAATCTGTGTAAATGGATGAGCTTGGTTGGATATTCTGGTAAATTGCTACAAAATGTTATTTCAGTGGCTTGAGCTTTGTGTTTTCTGCTTTCTGAAGCCAACAGAGGAGCTCCAAAAATCCTTTTGTTTTAAGTCTTACCTAATGATCAGCAAAATCTACAAGGTATGCTTCTTTAACATTTCACACTCCAGCTCTCACTTTGTTTTGGTTGTCTAGAAGATTCTGAGTTCTCTTTTTCTGACTTTGTATCTGGATCGGCGACTGTAGCATAAGAATGCAAACAAGAAAATGGGGAAGAGTGGAGATAGGGAAGAAGATATAATATATAGCAAGCCAGAAGATGAACTTTTTGATCAGGTACCAATGGTTTTCTATCTTCGCTCATTCTGTGCTTCGAACATGGCACCTGACTTTTTCTCCAAATTAATATTCAGCTGAGCTCCTGGTCCTTCATTTCCCGTTACACACTCAGCAGGTGACAGCTAATGAGGTTAGTAATCCTGCTGGCTGAGTTTAATGATTCATGTCATTGATTTTTTGCTTATTGACTCCTTCACGGTGTGTTGTTTACACTATTGTGTATAATTTCTAGTTGCACATTCAGGTCTTATTCAGTTGCTTCCATGTTTTGGCCTACTTTCTAATTTGGCTATTTAAGGATGTGCGAGCAGCATCTTATTTCAAATGATTAGACAAATTTATGAACATTGAACAATTCTCATGGTAACTGTTGCAATGATAAGTCGATTGGGTTGTTTTAAGGTGGGTGATTTGCAGATTAAGTATGGTTGAGCTTAAAAGATGTTCTCTTGACCTCTTTTTGTACTCTTTTACTCAGGACATAATAGTAATACTTCTTTTCTGGTGGGAAAAAGTTGAGCAATCCAAACTCTTTTAACAGTTGGTAATTTATTGATAATGTTAATCAAATTCTTCTGTTTGTCTTGCGAACAATCTTGGGACAGCACCAAAGGGACATGAGGCTAATAATCGTTGGATAGAGGAACTAGTTGTTTGGAGAATGTCTGCTAGCTCTAGAGTTTGTGTGATTTCAAGTAAGCATTGGTTTACTGTTCTCCTCCTTTTGGTGCACAAGTTGCAGTGTTGGATGGAGGTAGAGAGCATGCTTTTGGCTGTTCTTCTTTGATCTCTTGAGGAAAGGAAGTGATCATTTCTGAGTGTGTGAAATAATTACTTTGAACATGACTTAAATTTTGCTTAATGTTTCCAATGCCCAAAGAATACAAATAATTCTGCTCGTTTTTTCATTTTTGTTTAATTTTTTTGACATTTGTAATAGTTCAGTCTTGTACGATTGAGTGATATAGCAATTACTTCTAGTTGTGTTATGTATTCCACTCTTCTCCTAACAGTTATCCTGTATTTTCTCATTGTTGCAGCTAAAAGATTACCGCCCTATGGGTTTAGTCATGGCTGTTGATGCAAGTAAAGTTGGCATATTCCGGAAGCAGTTGCATTCTTTGATTGACGAATCATGACATCAAGGTTCCAAGACTTGCACAGGGCCTGCTGTTCTCACCTCCCTGGACTGCTTATGGAAGTGAGAAGTGGCTGTTTCTTTCATTTCAACTATTCTGCAGAAACAGGCCAAGATGGTATTGGAGACTACATTCAGGAAAGAGTTGTAACCTGTATGGTCCGTGTGGCAGAATTTTTTGTATTGCTTGATACTTGTAGATGTCATACTGGATGCGATTGTTTTGAAAAATGCGTCACACCTGATCATGTTGTAAATTGGCTTGAGTGCCTCAAATTTTGTTTCACGTCTATTTAAGGTTTTCTTCCCCTTTTCCCTTCGAAGTAATGGAGTACTAAATAGTTATCACCTTTTCATTTTTTGTTTTCTTTTGAGTTTTACGATTTTGGAAATCGTTCATTCTGCAAAGTTGATTTCATAAATCTAAAGCTAAATAAGTTAAATAAACCAAAGAAAAAAGTAGTTCATTTGCCATTTACTGGGGTGGTTTTTTTTGGTAGTTTGTGGTGTGTTTGGGGGGGGGGGGGGGGGTTCTGGGAACCCAATTGTCGAGGCAGACACGAAGGACATAAAAGACCTAAGGCTCTCGTCTTCCACCCCACTTCAGCCAGGTCCCAATTCCCAACTTTGCCAGGTTCAATTGCGCCGGCGTCGTCTCCTATCGATTATGGCAGCAGCAGCAGCAACATCAACCATCACCAGAGTGCCCGTAGCCGCTTGTAGTAGCATTTCTTTTTCTGAAACGAAAAGACGAATTCAACCTACTCGACTGACAACTACCGATAGAACAAGACTCCCAGCACAGCGATTCTCTCGAACCCGGATATGTCATTTCACGACAGTATCGTGTCTCCCTCCTGCGCCGCTGCCGTTGTCCAAAACCCATTTCAATCCCTCCACCAGGCTCTTTGTCAGCGGTTTGCGCTCTCTCCTCACTCTCATCTTTCCCGCTGAAATGTCCCAAACAGGATTATTACTGTTGGTTTTATGATGTATATTTTGTTACAGGGCTGTCGTTTCGTACCACAGAGGAGAGCTTGACAAATGCCTTCAAAGCTTTTGGCGAGCTCTTAGAAGGTGAGAAGGGCTGCAGAATTCTCAAATCCCAATAAATAGTCTTTTTCTTTTCTGTTTTCTTGGTATATACGACTAGTAATTAGCTTTTTTCTTTTTTTTTTTGTGCAGTGAACTTGGTAATGGATAAAATCGCTAATCGACCGAGAGGTTTTGCATTCATTCGCTATGCTACGCAGGAGGAATCTCAGAAAGCCATTGAGGGGATGCATGGCAAGGTACTCTAAATTTGTTCATCAAGTGTATTTGTATTGTTGACTTGGATGAAATATTTGTCTGGTTTGTGTATTTGGTGTATGTAATTTATCTTTCAGTTCTGGTCTACTTCTGGTTTTTGAACTATTAGGTTTCAGAGGTATGTAGAACATTTCATTAGTAGTTCAATATAGGAATGTTGGCATTAGGTCTTGGGTCGTCATAGACTCAAGACTCATAAGTTACTTCAGCTTGACCTGAAATTTGGCAACTGCAAAGCTCTGTTATACACCCAAATGTTAATATGTTTACTGGAACCAATTGACATATTGTTGGTTTTATTGGTGTTAATGAACTGAGGAAACCGATTTTGTAAGGTTGACTTTAATCGATGCCTCTTAGAAATCGACTTCTTGAATCTTCTTCTTCCTCTGCGACAGATTTTCTTAATTCCCTAATTTTCTCCGCTCTTCCCTCTCCTCAGCATCCACCAACCAATATCACTCTGCCTGCAATCTACTCGAACATCTTTATCATTGTTATTTTCAAATTTCAAGGTGTCGGGATTAGGCTGACACAGCTGATGAAAGTAGGCACATCTGCCGTGGTAGTTTGATATTGACGTGGTGGTACAGAGGGAATTATTGGGAGTGAAAGATGCTGAAGGAGGCACAGCACATGATCTGCATTTGTGTTTGCTCTTCTACTTTATTTTTTCCCTTCTTGTATGTGCATATATAATTGATGAAGAAGGAGAAGAGAAGAAGGATAGGGAGGAGCGCAGGGAGTTTTGGATAAAGAGGAATAAGATTAGCAGCAGAAGGAGGAGAAGACCGGAAAAGAAAAATATTAGGATTAGGAATAGGAATGAAACCAACAATCTTTCTCTTTTCATTTGCGATAAAAATATTAATATTTGGATAGTCATTGAGGAAATTGTCTGGACAAAAACTTAATATAGATATGTCAAAATAATATGACACTGGTACCTTGTGCTGTTATAACAAAGTTTTCTCCGCATGTTAATGGTTAAAAGTTTTTTTTTTTTTTTGAGGAAATGATTTAAAAGTTTTGCCATTCTCAATCTTGCTTGTTCTTTTTTTTTTTTTTTAAAGCAAATGTGACTAGAGTTTCCAAATTCTGTACACACTGGAATGGAGTCAGATTTGAATACACTTGTGATCCATTGTTTTGCTGTCCAAGTGTTGGAGAGGCAGAGTACAGGCAGCCTTTTGAGTTTCATGCTATTCTGTGCTTAAAGACGGCTGTTTCAAATGCTGTAATATTGAAAGGTTTCAGCTTTGAGCTGTCTTCTCGCGGTAGAATTATCTGATCTTTCTCTATCATGGTCTATCTTGTTGGGAAGAAAATTTGGAGCATTTAATAGGCATGTCTATGTGAAATTTTTGGCATCTGGGGTCTGCTGATGCATAAAGAATGCAAATCTTTTGTGACTAACACAAATGGCATCCACTAAATTTGCAACTCTACAGACATATGATGCTTGAATATGACTTGGGCTCCGAGTAGACTTCAATACATGATATCAATGCACTCCCAGCATATTCTACATGATGTCTTCCACCTGTTTGGTTATCGAATCTTGTGTACTCTTTCTAGAATTTATGATCTAGAGCTCTTTGATACACTGTTGACATCCTTTGATATGAAAGTTGCCTAGTGGGAGTGAAAGTTTTTCCTGACGCGAAGTTTACTTACAAACACCTTCTCAGTTCCTGGATGGCAGGGTAATATTTGTTGAATTTGCTAAAAGTAAATCAGAGCTTCGCCAAAGCCTCAAGCAAAAGCCAAAATTGACTTGATGGGTAAGATATATAATCACACTGGATTAGGCCCCAAAGCCCTGAATCTTTTTGAAGAAACGTCTCGATGACTGGCTGAACCTGTGTGTTTACAACTACCACCTGCAGTCAAATTCAACTAGCAACATCGTTTAAGAATCCCCAAATAATGGAAGATGTGAATGATATCTAAGCCAGCTATTTGAGATGTAAGCTGCGATTCCTGGCCATGTCTACTCTTAGCAATCTGAATGTCATTTTACCACGTTCCACATGGTGAATTGGTTGTATGTGGGTAGAAGAGCAAAAGGGAATCATCAAATGTCTCTCCAGACAATCATTTACAAAGTCGAAATAAACACTAGAATTTGCTGGAGTCCAGGCAGGTTTTATATGTGATCATACACTAGATCAGCATCTATTCTCGTTCTTCTCTGTCTCCCTAATCGAGTAATTTTGATGTTTATACATGCTGTACCAGTCAGTTTAACAGTTTCCCTTGATAGAATTCAATTACAGCAAAGCGGATGTAGCGAATTTAAATATTTTTACGAGATCATCTAGAGAATCAGTGAACCATTGGTTACTGTAGCAAGTAACGTTTCTGGTAAAGACCAAGGACATAGCTTTCTTCACTCTTTTCCTTTGAAATGGACATACCTCCTGCTTGCTGCATATTAGCATTTGGAAGCAATACTTCTAAATTGTGACTTTAAGCAACTAAATAGCAACTTGGCAGTAGGTGAACCTGCAAATCAAAGGAAGCACACTTCAGGAGAAATTTGCCATTTGTGTGCGACTCAATCCTCTGATTTCAGAACTATTTTCTATTTTAACTCCTCTCTAGTGTTTCATGGAGGCAAATAACGTTGCTTGAGATGTCAGGAAATGCCAAAGCCTACCACTACCCTTCCTGTTTTTATGGCTGAATGTCTATGTTAAATGCTGAACTTCGGTGTTAGGCAATGCTTAATTTTCATAGTAGTATAGTCTATCCACGAGTTAATCAAGTTGACAGTTTTTTTTTTTTTTTTTTTTTTTTTGTCAAACTTCAGCTGTATTATATAATTCAATGATTAGTCTGCATAGCAGATTTACAAAAGGCTGGCAACTGCCAGGAAATCATTGTGGGCTTCTTTGTTAAGCCACACAGGGAAGGATTGCTTCCACCTAGTTTCATGTACCAAGTTAACAGCAAACTTAGCTAGCCTATGGCTACACAGGTTCAATTCTCTCCTTATGTGAAAGAAGGAGCATTTCCAGAATGAAAGACTCAACTGCTTTATGTCTTCAATGAGCATGTCCAGAGAGGTTAGACCATGGCCTCCTAAATTGATCCTATCCACCACTGCTTTGCAGTCCGAGAGGATCAATAAGGATGTCATATCTTCCTCAATAGCCTTGCTCAGAGCTGTTCTAATAGCGATAGCCTCCAATTCAGCTGCATCTCTACCTCCTGGCTGCGGGATAGACCAAGTCGTCAGAATCCTGCCATTGATAGTTTTAGCAATGATTCCAATTCCTGCTTTCATTCTGGTTTGATTCATTCCTGCATCCGTATACATAATGGAAACATGTTGTTCCATTAGACCAGCTAACATGCTCTGTCTGTCCTCTGGTTGGGGGCCCGTACCATTGGTCACCTCTGAATTCCTTCCTGCTTCATCAAACTCTATCCATTCTTCCATTGCTTTTTTGGATATCAGGTCACTTCCTTTTAGATCCTGGTTAAAGTTCCACCCGTTTCTTGCCTTCCAAATTTGCCAGAGGAAATTTGCTGTAATTTCAATGTGTTTAATCCCATCCTCTCTTGCTCTGGCACCCTGCATATGTTCCCACCATTTCCAAAAGTTCCAGTTATGTTCTTCGATGCCGTCCCAGGAGACAGGAAATGTTGCCCAAGCCAGCACTCTAGATTTGCAGTGAAAAAGTGCATGTTCAGTCGTTTCTGGTTCTTCCCCGCAGCATTTGCATAACGGATCACCCTTGCCTGTCCTTCTAAAAATTTCCTCATTGGTTGGGAGGATACAATGAAGACATTTCCACAAGAAATGTTTAATTTTATGTTTGATATTCAGACCCCAAAGTTGATTCCAGACCTTGGATCTTTCCTTGTTTGTACTGGAGTTTACCTTCGCCTTATTTTTCTCACTGCTCTCTTTGAATCTCTCTTTGGCCTTAGCATACCCAGATTTAGAAGAATAGCAACCATTATCTGTAAATCTCCATTTGAATCTGTCCTTCTTTTGGAATACGCTAAGGGAATAGCCATAATCGCCTCTGCCTCTTCCTTTGAAAACAGTCCTTGAATGATGTCATTGTTCCATTTCCTCCCCTTGATCAAACTGCTAACTTTGGTTAGTTGGTAGCCATTTGGTTTTGGGGAGGAGATTCTTCCATTTTTTGAAATATCTAACCATCTGTCTTCCCATATTTCCACTGTTGATCCATCCCCAACTTGCTTCCAGATTCCACTTTCAAGCAACTTAATAGAGCTATGCAAACTTTGCCAAATCCATGAAGCTCCAGCTTTTACTTTGGATTGAAAGATATTGGAATTAGGGAAATATCTGTTTTTCATGACTTTACTTACTAACAAGTTGGGACAGGTAATAAGTCGCCAAACTTGTTTGGCAAGCAAAGCTTCATTGAAACAGAGCAGATCCCTAAATCCAAGACCACCATTTTCTTTCCTATCAGCAATATCCTCCCATTTCTTCCAATGCATTCTTGTTTCCCCTTGATCATTTCCCCACCAAAATCTGGCCATTAAACCACTTAGCTCTTTGCACAGGCTCTTTGATAATCTGAACACGGACATGGCATAGGATGGAAGAGCAGTGGCAACTGACTTGAGTAGCACCTCTTTCCCTGCATTACTCAGCAATTTTCCCTTCCAGTTCTGCAACCTAGACATCAAATTTTCTTTAATGAATCTGAACACGCTGTTTTTCGATCTTCCAACCACTAGGGGTAGGCCCAAGTACTTTCCTTGTGTAACTTGTTGGATTCCTCCTAATTTCTGTAGCACCTCCTCCTTCTCCCTGCTGCCTGTGTTTTTACTGAAGATGACTGCTGATTTGTTGATGTTGACTTGTTGTCCTGAGGCTTTTCCATAGCATTCCAGTATCTCTTTTATGTGCCCTGCTTCATCACCATTAGCTTTACAAAAAATGAGAGAGTCGTCAGCAAAAAACAAATGGGATATATTGGGACCTTGTCTGGCAATTTTGACACCTGAAATTTGTTTGTTACTGACAGCATTGTTTAGGAGATTAGAAAGCCCTTCAGCACAGAACAGAAATAGGTACGGGGAAAGGGGATCTCCCTGTCTAATTCCTCTAGAAGGATTAACATACCCTCGCTTCACACCATTAATATTGAAAGAATAGGACACAGAGGAAAGACAGCTATGCATCCATCTAATCCACAGAGGGGCAAATCCCATTTTACAGAAAATGGCATAAAGGAAATTCCACTCGACTCTATCATAGGCTTTGGAAAGGTCAAGCTTAATGGCCATGTACCCTTCCTTCCCCTTCCTTTTTTATTTCAGCCAGTGCATATATTCGTGAGCAACCATGACATTGTCAAGTATTTGCCTATTAGGAACAAAGGCTGCCTGAGAGTAACTAATGCAAGAGTTAAGAAGAGGTTTGAGTCTGTTCACCAAAATCTTGGAAATTATTTTGTAAAAAACATTACACAGACTGATAGGCCTAAAGTGAGCAAGATTGAGGGGGTTGTCTATTTTAGGAATAAGAGTGACCAGTGTCTCATTGATAGCTTTGGAGAGGAAGCCAGAATGAAAAAATCCTTGGATAGTATCAATAATATCAACTTTGATAATGTTCCAAAATTTTTGAAAAAACACAGGGGACATACCATCAGGCCCTGGGGATTTGTTTGGGTGCATGGAGAACACAGCAATTCTGATTTCCTTCTCAGTAACAGGTCTGGTAAGTTGCAAATTCATCTGCTCAGTGATAGTCCTCGGAATACCATTTAATATCTCATCAAAGTCTGATGGCTTCGAAGATGTGAAAAGCTGATTATAGAATTGAGTAATCTCCTCTCCAAACTCCTCCTCGGTTGTGCACCCCCCTTGCTCCTTCTCAAGCCTGGTAATTCTATTCCGCTTCCTTCGGCCATTCACCACAGCATGAAAATAAGCTGTGTTCTTATCCCCTTTTTGAAGCCAATTGATTCTAGCCCTCTGGTTCCAATAAAGTTCCTCTTGTTTATAAGCTTCAGAAAGCTGCTTCCTAAGCATTTTAATGGCCTCTTTAGCATTGTTACCGTTCCTGGACCTTGTAGCATGAATCTCCTCTTTGATTCTTTTGATTTCTTTTTTGCTATTTAGCTTCAGCGTTCTACTCCAGGCTGAAAGATTCATTCTGCACTGTTTGATCTTCCTGCTGATTCTCACTCCTCTAGACCCCACTTGGTTTTTACCCCACGCCTCTTGGATTATGCCCTCCACTTCCCTGTATTGCAACCATCTGGAGTCAAAGTGAAATCTTCTTTTTGGTTTTCTGATTCTAGGCTCTGTCTCCAGGAGGAGGATGTTGTGATCAGATGCTTCCACTTCAAAATGGGTCACTCTTGCATCTTTGAACACTTCACACCACTCTTCGCTTGCAAGAGCTCTAATCCAATCTCTGTTTAATTTCTCCATCCCCCTCCCACAGGTTACTCCAAGTCCAAGGGAGGCCCTCAAAACCAATATCCAGGAGCTCATTGTTGTTAATGAAGCCTTTGAAGTCAGAGAACGTCCAATTAGGCCTCACTCTGCCCCCCATTTTTCATCGTTGGAAATAATGTCATTAAAATCCCCAATTAAAACTTTGTTTTTACCCCAGATTTTGCTCCTATTAGTCAAAAAATCCCATTGGTTCTTCCTCATATTATCATCAGTGCTAGCATAAACAAAAATGCACCACCAGGTCCCAGCATCATTATCAATATTCACATAAGTTCCAAAGTAAAGGGGGTAGATAAAACATCCAAAACATTGGTAGCCTTTTTCCAAAAAAACAGCAAGACCACCAGCTTTACCTACAGGATCCACTAAAGCCATTTCCTCAAATCCTATTTTCCTTTTAAAGCCATTTAAAAATTTTTTTTGGTTTTTAGTTTCGCATAAAAAAATAATATTAGGGGAGTGAAGGTGGATTACCTCCTTAAGACAGGGAATAGTCAAGGAGCTCCCTGCCCCTCGACAATTCCACGCCGCAACTATCATGTGATCTTGGGAGACCACTTAAGGCTGGCCTCCATGACCTCAGAAATTGGCAACTCATCGCAACCTTGCTTCCGCTTACACCTCTTCGCCAAGCCCTCATCAATTTGCATAAGGTTGATTTCTTCCTCCTCCTCTGAAGGTTTCCTTTTTGCAGCCACAGAAGTAGCTTCAATGTTCATGTCCACATCTGATAGCGGTATTCTACCCAGCTGACTTTGTTGTCCTTTGCCATCTTTCCTGGCTACCTTAACCTGCTTCCTGCCTTTAAATCCCATCGCCTTCCCTGCAGGATTATGTCTGCTTACTCCTTGGATTGCATCTGCTGGCACTACAACGGAATCTCCGAGAGAGGTGAAGTTCTCATCCGTCATGATGTTTTCAACCGTTATTTCCATTAGTTCCACCCGGTCCTGTTTGACATCCTCCTTAGTTTGAGGACAATCAAGTTGACAGTTGAGACTTGAAAATATGGTCCTCTTTTTCGGCTAATGTAATATACCTCACAGTGGGCAAGTTATGGCTTTATGTGTATGCCAACCAGGAAGTACTTGTAAACATAGACACCTCTTGTTTGAGCGATGCTGGTCACATGTACTCTGTATCTGACAAGGTAGGATCAGGCTTTTAATGCAATAGAGTTTCAACTACTCAGTCATTCATCAGGCCAGCAGCCCTTTGTGGTCACCATTAAGCACTCAAGTCTTGATAGTCAACCCTTACCTTCCACCAATTTATTACTATACATGACGACTTTCAGTGGGTTTCTCTTGTGGAGTTTCTACTCATTGACTCTCCCTCCCTAAAATAGGTTATAAAAATATTACCGTTGCAAAAAAAAAAAAAAAATGTCAATCTTCAGCCTTCACTTGCTAGAAAATCTGAACTTCATCATCAGTCACTTATGGTTTGAGCTAATTCTGGTCACATATACTTTGAATCAGACAAGGTAGGATAAAGATTTTAATGCAACAATGTATTTGGACAGCGGATTATTTAGGATAATTTTTTGAAAAAAAAATACTGTAACATTTTTTTTTTATATGATATATACAAGATAAGAAAGTGATTGGAAAATATGTTGATCGTGTAAGGAAATAAAATTTGACAAAATAATCTCCATCCAAACAAATCCGTGCAATGCACGGGGATATCCTTGAGTCAGACCTTTTTTTAATAAATTATTATCTCCAAAGTGAAATGGGACATGTTATAATTACTTTTCTATATTACAATATGAAAAAGGCAAATAATTTGATGAAGCAAAATATTACTTAGAATCCCCTTCAAAATCAAGCTCTATAAGGTTGTTCAAAATATTACTGAGAATGTCTGAACTTCATCATTCATTTCTTCTGAATGGCTTTTCAATGAAAATGGTCCAACTGCAAATAAGTTTTTCAATCTGCTGATATTCTCCATTTTTCCTGATTTGGGAAGACGACCCTAATTATGTCTGCGGATATTCACAGCAATCGGTCCACTTAAATACCTTTCATGCTGCCTAATTGTACCGTCAAAGTTTCCTCCTTTTATCAAACCAAATAATTTCACTAGTTGCTGACAATCTTGGCCTTCAACCTTACCTAGACGATGCACAATAGCATCCACCCAAACCCAACCTAGAGAGGAGAAGGAACGACAACTGGAGAGACATTATTATTATCTTCAACTATTATTGTTCATGTGGTCCTGTACATATTAATCAAGTCAAAGCTGCACGATGTTGTTAAACCTTATATTCTAGACGACCAACAACCGTTCGTGCCCCTTGTCCGCTCGCAAAACCAGCCAGCCACTGGTTTCCCTTGTAACAATTACAAGCTTTTCCACTATAAAAGCTGTCATATTGTACGTTGCAACAGTTGGGTAGTCAAGCAGGCAGGCACGGGCTCTTACTTCCATCACAACTTTTCTCATAGATGATAGATCACTTCAGAGCCTATCAAACTAGAAAGGGCTAACATCTTTCAGCTTATATAGCAAGAGCCAGCAAGAGGATGAATAGAATTTAAGGGGAAACAAATTTAGAAAAGAAGCAACCCTACTTACAACATGGAAGCTGTATCAATTCCAGGAAGAAATGTTATTGATAGATTCACAATTACAAATATTTTCCTCAGGTTACAGTTAGATGTAGAAAGAAGAAATGAAAAGGATTACAGAAGTCAGTAGACATCATTGTAAAAGAAACACTTATGAACACGTCTTGATGAACTTACCAAATTCATTATCTGACAGATCAATGAAAAATCACTTGTCGGAAGCCATTCCCTTGTTGGCGGCGCTTCCTGATCACTGTGAAAAAGCATAGCTTATCTGACTCTGATTTTCAACAGAATATCCCACCAATTGGTAGCATCTTGAAGATCTTCTCATACATGAAACTGTTAATTCTCTGCACATCACCTGAATTAGCTCGTCAATAGGATCGGAACCCTCTATAAAAATGACTTAGCCCAGATAAAACTGAGAAATTCTGAAAAAAGTGCTTCATGGGAATTAGGATATAACCGAAGGTGCTATGAACAAATACGGGCTCTTTGGCCCTCCCGCTCCTCAGCTGCAACAAGAGATGATGTTGCATCTCTCTCTGCAAACACCTTTTGTATGGCACAAACCCTTTGGTAGACCTCTGTCTCTCAACATTAGCTAAATTTTTAGACTGAATAGCATCAAAAATTTTCTGCCGCTCTTGGCTGCAGTAACCAACCCACTGTTTGAATCAGTTAAGGATCCTTCCCTTTGAGGTTCTTCATTCTCAACAGCCCCTTTATATGGATTATTCACAGAATTCTCTATAGCTGTTTGGTTGCTCAAAGAAAGATTTGGCAACAGTGGACCATGAGACCAAGTCCACATCGTATCATATGGGGAATGGAACCCAGTTGTCCAAAATCCTCACTTACTGCATACTGTGGTACTAAGCAAGCACTGGGTAATGCAGCTCGGAACCAATGACAAATTAACCTGTGAATCTATAGTATTTTCTGCAGAACCTATCATATGGCGGCCATTTCTAATGTCTAATTTCTCTTTCATGGAGTGGGAAGGGGATAGTTCAGAATTCTCAGGTGCTGATGAAGACAACTTTTGATTCTCTTTAATCTCTACCATTCTTCCAAACAACTTAATTGGCCGGAGCTTGTTCAAAAGCAGGATCTTCAGCAGGACACGCTCTACCAAGTGTCAGCAAATCGAGTTCCTGAAACCACAAATCAAATGAATATAAGAAACAGCTAAACTCATAAAGAACTAAATAGGCATTAGTAGACTAAACAACCAGAATATAGGAATAGGAAAATAATAGGATATGCTGCGGTACCATTGCTGATTCATCATCCTGGGTTGCAGAAGCAGCCAACAGAATTGCATCACCATATTCTTTCTCTTCCTCAACAGATGAGTCAGATGTCATGCATTCATTATCATTTTCAGTTAACTGAACAATAGCAGAGTGTGCATCATCAGTAGTATACGACACTGGCGAAAGGTGAGACCTTTGCGGCTCAGAAAATGGAGATCCACTTGTATCCGATCCAAGTGCAGACAGAACTGAAGTAGGTGACCTACTGTTCCTTTCTTCGCCTGACCTCTTGAATGGAGGGGCTTGTTCAGGTTGATGTGGATCATCTAGCATTGCTTTAGTAACGTCCGTCACTTTACGAGGGTAAGGATGAGCAGGTTTCTTCTTGGGCCGAGGAGGAGGGATTTCAATTGGATTAAGGGAACCCTCACATTCATTAGAATCACGTGCAACCTGTTAGAAAGGAAAATCTCGGTCAGCAATCTGAAAGATAAGGCATCACCTCTGCCTCATCACCTTAGAGTAATATGAACCACAGAGCAACGGATCAGCCAACTTGCTTATCGAAGTGTGAATATGCATAAAACTTATGAAAGGATCAGTTTAAATACAACACCAACCTTGGCAAAAAACTTCTGAGCATGGCTACGAATCTGAATAGCAGTTTTTGTGCCTACATGTTCTGCATCGCCAGAATAGTATTTAGACAAGTTTAACATACTACTTTCCACTTAAGGTTCAGGCAGCCTATTCACTTGTTTCCTCTACTCTTTAAGAAAGATTATCGAGAACAAGCAATCAAGAAGGGAAAAACATTGTAATGCAGCTGAACAACCCTGTTCCATACTCACCTTCTATTTGGCGCCAAGCACGACCATACAGCTTTAGAGCTTCAAGAAACCTCTGGTGTTCTTCCTCTGTCCATTTTTCTCTTTGTTTTTTGATGGTATATGGCTTCCTCACCTATTGTATATAGGCACTAAACATCTAATTATGGAGAAATGAATAATTTTGGGAGCCAAAATGAGCAAAGGAGGGTAAACAGTTTAGCAGCATCATAGAAGGGAGTAAGACCTTTGGTGCATATCCATTTCCCATTTCAGTTAAGGCCTGAGTTTGAGCTGCTGTAGTTTCCAAATGAGCCCGCATACCCAAAGATACATCATGGCTAGTGCCTTCAATTAGATCCTACAAAATAGGGCATAAAAACTTCAGATTTTTGAGATGCAATTCAAACCATACATCAATCCAGAAAAGATCCATCCTGCCCCACTTATTTACCCAATTTGGACAGACCACGTAAGCTATGAAGTGCCTCCAGTGATAGCCTTTTGCAATTTCCCCAACAAAAGCTCCCCCGTTTCTACCGCATCAAGCGATCCACTTTCCCAAAAGGCCCAAGAATACAAGCGAAAAATCCTCAACATCCCCCTATGCTCTAAATTTCTTTAGTTTACAACAGCATCCTCTCTCCTAACATAATCTCCTGGTCTCAAACTAGATTATATAGCCATCTATTCTCACAAAAATTGTACCACAATCAAACCGAAACTAAAGCTAGCTGAACTACTTAACCACTATAAACTCATAGCCTCAGAATGAAAAAGCTAGCCTTCAATTCCAATTCACAAGCCTTTTAATCAAGATAACTTTTATTCAGTGTTACAGAAGTCAATTCAAGAATCAAACTTTTTCCAAGAAAGCAATATCTTCTAGCTGTAATATCCAAAATAATTAGCTCAAAACTAAAATAACCACACCATTGTCCATAAAGCGACTGACCAACCAATCCCAATTAGTAACCAATATCTCTATTCAATTGAAACATTCTTCGCAACCCTTTTAACAATTCATAATATTCTCCACAAATCATGGGATAATTTTTTTTTTTTTTTAAAATAAAGAATAGGAAAGCAGCAGAACCAAAATCTTGTAAAAGAAAAAGTAATACCACTCAAAACACTGTACATATAAACAAAACTTACAGGAGCCTCAGCCACCATTTTCTTCTTCAAGAACTACTAAAAATGGAAAATGGGTTGCCGTAAACAAGTAAAAGATGAAGGCTGAACAGGCAGAGAGATCTTGAAAGCAGAGATTTGAGTGGTGAATATATGAAAGATGAACCAAAGAAAGAAATATACAGAGTAGGAAGAGGGGGGGGGGGCTGGGGTGTTGTGCTTGTGACGTGCCAAGTAGGATGCTTGAATTGGAAATCTAATTTTTTTTTCAAAAGAAATCTATTAATGGAAAATAGTAAAATAACAAATGGAAATTTCAAGAAGGTAGAGTAGGAATTAGGAAAGAGATATTGTGGCTGAAATCAAACGGGACAACTACCACGTGTCAGCAGTGGCGGAGCCAGAAAAAAATCTTAGTGGGCTAAAATTTGGGAAAATCGCCAATTTAATCCCTAAACTTTT